GTCGCGGTGCCGTACAGTGCTGTTGACTCAGCGCGGCACGCGACACATCACCGTGTAGCGGGTCCCCTACACTGCCAATAAGCCGACATTTTAAGGATCCTATCCTTTTCTTTTAATAAATGAAAAGGCAGGTATCAAGATTTTTTTTCGGTCTGTTCGTCTATATTCTGACTTTATACAGTCCGTTCAACAAAGGGAAAATTTACATGAACGTAGTACATTAAAACCGAAAATCAATCCAGTATTGCCCCCCCCCCCAAAAAAAAATAAAAATAAATGTGATTAAATGCGCTATCCCCAGTCACTTAAAAAACATTATACAGGGTGGGTGATCCGCGCCGTCTTTTACATGCTTACACTGTACCGCATTCACGTGTGCGGGCGGGCTTGCCTACCGTCGCTCGCCAGGGCGCCTTACGGCGCCGTGCGAGTATGCAACCCGTCCGCTCCTATGAATCCGGTACAATATAAGCATTCAAAAAAGACGGCGTGGATCACCCACCCTGTATGTGACGACCTAAATGTTTGTCCATTAGAAACACACTTTTTTTTGGAATTTCACTCGTATTTTGAACTGTAGGCAGAAAATATTGTGCACATTTTAAATGCAATGTTATTATGCTCGTTGGAATTTACTCGCCACTCCCGACAGTGTTGTTACGTAACAGAGGTCCTTGCCTTACCTCGGCCGCGGTGGCCCGGGCGGGTCCTGCCCCTGCCGCCACTCACCGTTAGGCCGTTAGGACCACCACGCATGTTAATTATTCGGAGGTCCTTCCCCCTCTCCAGCCGGCCCGGTGCAAGGATGAGTGGACTCGCCCGACAGGTGGGCGTGGCGTGGCGCGAATGGCCTGGCGGTGCAGCCGTGACTTTGAACTTGAACTTGGTGCAGGGGCCGCGCCGCCACAGTTGTCATGCTTGGGGCCCTGGCCGCCGGGAGAGCGCAGGTGAGGCTATCACCCGTGCACAATTCACAAACGCGTTTGACCACTGGCAAAGTAGTCGACATGCAGTCGTTGACTGGTCGAGAAGCACGACTTGAAGCTGAGAAAGTGGCTCCATTGAAATAATGGCAATTCGCTCAGCTCAATTGAAATTTATGTTTTTATAGACATGCCAGGTCATTTTTCCCTTAAAGCTACTGGAAAATTATTTGAGTCAGGAGGAAAGCTCGTATCATATCATATCATCAATCATAAAATCAACGGAACTTACATGACTAACTCTTCCCTCAATTAATCGTATCGCGAACGCCATGAACTAACCGTGTGTAATGCTAGATAAAAATGGCTACTGCTTGGCTTTCCTTGTAACTACGAATGAGGCTCGGGATCAGCCGAGGGATCAGCAGCTGTCCTAGTAACAATTTGACCGATGTGTGGTGATAATGCCAGAAGTAACTTTAATTAATGAATGATTTTATTCTTCTGCGTTGATGACCAAAAGTAAATGAAGTTTCTGTTGCTTGTTTTGCTTTTTTATAAAAAATATGCACAACCTTTTTTTTTACGGTTGTCCGAGAACAAGACTTGCTGGTCTGGTCGATGGTTGTAATGTAGAAACGTCCTTCTCTGTGGACAACAGACCCGCCTGCCGATCGGTCGTCAGTCTGCGTGCATCGTAGTCAGCCTGTGCGCGTCCCTCGGGCCCACCGGCCACAGGGCCTGGCCGGCCTGGCCGTAGGCCTGGCACACCGCACTGATTAAAGGCACCTGCAGTAAATTAAAATAATGAAAAGCGGTGAGCCCGGGCGTGACGTGGCGTGGCTGCATCACAGCGGAGCGGGAGCCGCTGCTGGGGACGCGCGCCCGACGCCTCTCGTGGGACAAGAGTCTTGGCTAGGTGCGGTTTAGCAGAGCGTTTTCGGTGGAACACTGTTAAAAGAACAGATGAAAACTTCACGAAGAATTTGATGTGAAAAGGGTTGCTGGAATTCTTCGTTATTTTTTTGCGGGAAGTCACAAAACTCTTCTTCGTTACAAATCAGCTAATTCAATTGGCAAAATGCACGATTTTTGACAACAAATAAGTTTTGTAATTTCACAGCTGTTTTGTATTGAGACAGTGATGCGAACACCGGCGAACACTTCAAGTGAAGGAGTGAGCAAATACGATCCATATAGAGCGATATTGTGAATCCAATTTGACGACTCTTAGGGGAGCGATATTACATCGCTCGTTTGGAGTAACTTTTCGCGACATTTTTGGTTACGAATAAGACTCATTTTGAGTCATTAACGCAAACGTCGCTCGATTAGAGTCGTTTCTGTGACATTTTCTGTTACGAAGAAGACTCATGTTGATTCATTTCACAAAAATCGCTCTAACAGAGCGATGAAGCCTATACGTCGCTCTATTCTGGAAAGAAAGGTCACTCTACGTTTTACCACAAAATATTTTTAACATTGAACCGTTTAGGTACGGACTGAAAACGGGGGAAGAACAAAATATACTTAAGGTAGACCGGTTGTGGTATTTTATCGAATGCTTTACCGCGTAATTAATTATTGCAATTGGGCTTAAAAAATTATTATGCTTACTATAACCGTATTTAAATTGTGGAAAACTATGCTAAACTTCGGTACCAGAACCATCTGTTGGCAATCTTATTCTTTTATTCAAGGAAACGTCGAGAGGCGACAGCTTGCAGCTGTTTAAGTTTGCTCTACAGCAGAGCAGATATTCATCAAAAACTTCTCCCTCGTTTCAGCCTGATATTCTAACTCATTCGTGGTTCTATTCCAGGGCGGGTCCTCGTGGGCGTCCAGGGAGGCGCGCCCGGTGGACGTCTTCTTGGCCTTGGCGGTCGCCCTCGTGGTGATCGCGGTGCTATGCATCGCTGGGCTCGCCATCTACCTCGGAGGTAAGTGCCCGACAGCCCCACCCCAGTAGCCCAGCGCTGCGGTTACTGGATGTACCCTCGCGAAAACTTCCGGCCGATTTGGAAGATGCACCCGGAGAAAACCATACCTTAAATAAGTCAAGGAAATTGCATTTCAGAAAATACAAGGACATTTCTGACTTTATTAAGGCATTCCCACTGTTTTTACTCTATCTAACGATAAATTGTTCCTGTTCCAACGCCATTTGCCTTATGCTTAGGTTAATGTTTCATTGAAATTTTTAAATGGAAAATTCCCTTTAATGGAAAGATTTTACTTTATTCAAGGGATGATATTTTCCAGATAGCTCAACCAAGTTTGAACAGTAAATCAAAATACTGCACAAACTGGGTCAATTGACGTCAAAGTCAGTACCTAAGAGGATGAGCTCCCGTCAAGTTCATTAAACTTTATCCTGATGCAATTATTTCTTGGAACAAGCAAACTCAAATCAACCAAACCTTTGCCAAGTACTTCAACTATGTGGTGATGCTTTCCTGGGTTTTGCCAACCCCAAGTTGCACAGCTATCGCACTGAACGTCTGAAGTACGTAGTTTCTCTGCTGGGTTCGGAGACTTAGACGCGGGAGGTGTGACAGAGTGCTAATTGCTCAAATTGCGAAACAGCCCCTTCTTTTAAACTGGAAACAGAAACCATGATTTTTCTTTTAAAAAACTAATAAAAGAAAATGATTGTTGCGTGTTTGGTACGCGATGCCACTGCGGTGGGTTTGGTTAATTATTGGAATCAGCGCCGCTGGTTGGTCGCGCGCCGCCAATAGGAGTCATTGTATTTGTGGCTGCGTCTCTCTCTCTCTCTCTCTCTCTCTCTCTCTCTCTCTCTCTCTCTCTCTCTCTCTCTCTCTCTCT